GGAATACGCCTTCATGTTAGAACATACGTTTAACAATGCACGACTGTTTGGCTATTGCTTGCAGCGTTTGTATTGGCGTCTTTGGGATTATTTTTTATAGTATAACAGTGAAATGTTGCAGGAATTAGATCTCGGATAGTAAGAAAGAGATAAAAAGGTACTAGGATATGGAAATAATTCACCTTTTCTACATTGAAGATTACCTTTTATAGCAGTTATTCAGTGGTGTATTTTTATACAGACCCATTGTAAAATCAACGGCTACATTACCATGTGCAACGGAGTAAGGGATTGGCCGATACACAAAAATAATATTAATTAAGTTACCCAGCTTGTAACAAAATTAATGTGCACATAAAACAAATTAATGCATTATTCAGTAAAACACCCCCTATCAGGGGACGGTCAGCTAGTCAGAATTAAGCTTTAAATATAAGCACAAGTTGATAAGTCATTTAAAAAGTTAAAGGTCTTATTAGAAGATACACTTCCAAAAACCTGAACTTAAACGGACAACCGGGTTAAAAAATACGTTAAACGATTTTCCCCTCATAGCTTTTTTCCTATGAGAGGAATTAGCGTGTTACTGATTTTAGCGCTACATTATTATCATTGTGCTTAGTAACATTTTTTCGCAGTTCTTCTTTTTTTATTATTTCTTAAAATGTTTTATTTAACTCAGGAACTTTCCACCGTGTTTAGTCTGGTGTTTCACAGTATTTTCATTGCAATATAAAGTAAAAAAACCTCAACTTACATAAATTAGGTGTGTATTTACTGGAAAATATTCATAAAAAACGTTATCCTTTAGTAGTTTTTTTTTATAATTTAAGTAAGGTATGATAAAGATTTAGAAAAAATGCATGATTTAATGAAATACTATTGAAAAACTCAATCGTAATTTCTAGGTAACTAAACAATTCTGAGTTTGGTAAAATTCTGTTAAATACATAAAACAATTTTGACAATAGTATTTTTTTTATTGTCCGTTTAGAAATTAAGAGAAAATAAAAAAATAAAAAAATTTTATCTCCACATAAACTATTGTCAAAGACATCATCCGTGTTTTAAGATAGTTGTTTAGGAACACATTTAGAAACAACTTTGGTCGTAGAAAAAAAGACTTTGTTCATACATACTGTTCCTGTATCTAATTGTTTTAAGCCCATCAGACAGTGTCGTTAATAAAGTGCTTGATTTTTATTCCTTCTACTCTATAATATTAACAGAAAAGAACAGGCACTGTCAGGGGTTATGTCTTATATTCTGGTTATAGGGGTTATATTCTGGTTTTCTATTATTAAAACACTTTATTGTATATAGTATCCCAATGATACTTTTATAACAAGTACTGCTAATATTTACTAATATAATACATACAAACAGTCAAATAAGTTTCCAGTTTCCACGCTGTGTGTCTGAGAACAGCAGAAAAATGAATCACTCGAGTGAGAAAACACGTTTTCCAATAATAATCCACGTCAAACGCCAAAGTGTCCAATGTTTCTATAATGTACGGCTTGAATCGTGAACTACATAAGTAGAACATGTCTTACGCATTTAAGTTTTATGGGAACATAAATAAGACCTTATATAGTATATAGTATTACAGCTAATAGAAGAAAATAACATTGAGTGTACATGAGATATTAAATATTGTACATTGACTGTTATTAGCTTCATGTCTGATTGGTTCTAACTGCGCAACTAATGAAACATAGTTTTAAATAAACTGCGCTAATGAAAACATGTATCCTAACTTGAACTCCCTAATACGTCTGCAATATATTTACCTGTGGATACCTTACTTACACAACTATCATGAAAACAATGAACTGGCAAATATCTAAGCTTTCAATGATAGTGATAGTAGATTTTAATTTGCCAATTTTCAAGAATGCTTTCAATAGACAGTAGGCCTCAGTAATAAATGCAATTTTCTATTATATGCATCATTCAACGGATATACTACATAAAAGGCAATTCAAAAACATTTTTTGATTGAGACAGAGATTGAGACAATGCCTAAATATTTAAGTAATATATTTATGTAACAATGAGGTAAAATATAAAATATTTTAGTCAATAAAAATTTATAAATCAGCAAAATTTGTCATAAGCAATCTTTAAAAAAGGAAAGCCCTCAGCCTATATCTTACTATATTTTATATGTTGAATCTTTTTGCTAACAATTAATTACAGTAAGTCTTTACACAAACAAAAATTTACAAATGTATTTTTTATAAATATTTAAGCACTGGGTCTGAAAAAAAAAACATTCATTGCCTTAATGTACATTGCTGCTTTTAATGTACTGTCATAAGTATTATTTCATTTTAGTTTAAAGGACCAAAAGAAAGTGTATGGCTCTGCCCTCCCAGATTTTTAAAGTTCTAAGGTTAGTTTATTCGAAATAAATTGATTGGTATTAGCTAGTAAAACTAAGTAGTAGCTTAGTTACTAATTAGTGATGTAATTTAATGCAGAGTAATACAAGTATACAGTGTGTAAATTAAGTATGGAAACAAATCTGTTTATTAACGAAATAGATATTAGTATTCTGTTTGAGGCATCAATTGTTAACAAAGGTTCCACAATCTGTTACATAAAAACATATTTTTAACCCCCCCTAACAGAGTTGTGGGTAGGGGGTAACCTATTATTTCTAATAGCAACACCTAATAAGTGACCCCTCATTTTTAAGAGAGGCTAAAAAAGAAATACAATGACGCAAACGCGATGTCATCCTTGGCAGCTATTACAAAATTTGATTTATGTGAAAAAGCACTCATTCAAACAATTCACAATTTGAAATACCTTCTGTTTTGGCTAGGTGTGATGTATCTACATCGGGTTGGCATCATTGTATTTATTTCTAAGGCCCCTTCAAAATGAGGGGTCACTTGAGGTTGCTATTTGGAAATTAAGTCACCCTATCCTGTTAGGGCGGTAAAAAATATTTTTGATGTAAAAATTCCCGAAAACCTATGTTAACAATCAATGCCACAAACAAAATATTTCTGCCTATTTCTATTTTGGCTGCGGTTTGAAAAGAATAAGTTACTACCTACCCCTTACCACAGAGAACATACTCATGTTTTCTGTGCCCTTACATATTATGAGGGGGGGGGGGGTTAAAAATATTTTTGATGTAAATGATTGCTGAACTTTTGTTAACAATCAATGCCACATGCAAAACATTTCTATATATTTCGGTAAAAAAATACAGACTTGTTTCAATATAATTTGTAAAATTGGTACTTTTTCAAATAAATAAAATTTTGGAATACCTGCTATTTAGGCTAGGGGTGAGATATCCACCTCGGGCTTGCACCATTGAATTTCTCCTGCAAAACCTTTCCAAATGAGGGGTCACTCAATAGGGGTCGCTGTTTGAAACAAAATAAGTTACTCCCTACCCTAAACCTTGTTAGGGAGGTGAAAACATATTTTTGATGGAAACGAATGCGGAACCTTTGTTAACAATCAACGCCACAAACAGAACATTTCTATCTATTTCGGTGAATTAAATAAATATTTGTTTCCAAACTTTATTTACACACTGTGTATTACATATATTTATTAATATATTAATCTACACAATTAATTGTTAATGTGGTATTACCTGTTTTTTAACAGCTTTTTGATGCTGAAAATCCTAAATACAGTACATGCCATCCCACGACCAATTAAATAAATACTGCCGTAGTGTGGGCTTAAGTGTAGAGATGTTTTTGATCACACTTATTGGAAGTTTGTGTGTGTTTTTAGCGCAAGACCCAATATCTAGGTCAAGCCTTCGTACTTGAGCGTGTGGGAAGATATTGCTGGAAAATTGATAACGACTTTCCAGGAAATTGGTGTCTTACCCTGAATACAATTAGCGTAATTGCACATTCCTGAAATAAAACAACACACCGTTTTTCAAACTTTAATTACACACAAGCATTGGGTTCTTGCTCTGAATATCATTAGTGTAATTGCACATTGCTGAAATAAAACAAACACAGTTTTTCAAACTTTATTTACACAACGTTTTAATTGAGTTATTATAAAGCTAATATAAAAACAAAACATAACAATAACAAAATGCTTAACGATGTATATACATAATAGTTAGTCATCATAGAGTCCATTAGCTTTTCTCAAAACTGAGTAATTAATACTTGATAGTTATACACAAATTTAATAACATTTAAATTTATTTTTCAGGACATACACAACAAGAAAATGTGTAAATAACGTAAGACTAAATTACTTACGTAATTCCCGTCACAGCTCAATAAAATATACAGAGTCAATAATAAATATATACAGGGTGAATAAAAAGTCAAGACCCCCCCCCCTCTAATATTTTTCCAAGTAAATATACAGATATATCCTTTTGGTGGTTGAGCAATCTTAGCAGGAAGTTTCATTTTATCATTTTGAAATTTTTGAGTGTCCCCCCAAAAGGGGGGATTTGGGGGGCAACTCAAATATTTTAAATGTAAACCCCCTTCAAGTGACACCTCATTTTGAAGTGTTTACAAAAACTTAAAGAATGGTGAAAACTAGAGGTCGTTATCTCATCTCTATCCAAAATGGTAGCCCGTCAAATGTTGTGGAAAATCAATGGTAAAATTGTTAATATTGGCTGCCATTTTGGATAGAGAAGAGATAGCGAGCTCTGGTTTTCACCATTCTTTAAGTTTTTGTAAACACTTCAAAATGAGGTGTCACTTGATGGGGGTTTCTAATGAAAATTCTTTAGTTGTCCCCTGAATCCCCCTTTTGGGGGACACTCAAAAATTTTAAATGTAAACTCCCTTCAAGTGACACCTCATTTTGAAGTGTTTACAAAAACTTAAAGAATGGTGAATACCAGAACTCGCTATCTCTTCTCTATCCAAAATGGCAGCCAATATTAAAAATTTTACCGTTGATTTTCCACAACATTTGACGGGCTACCATTTTGGATAGAGATAAGACAGCGACCTCTAGTTTTCACCATTCTTTAAGTTTTTGTAAACACTTCAAAATGAGGTGTCACTTGAAGGGGGTTTACATTTAAAATATTTGAGTTGCTCCCCAAATCCCCCTTTTTGGGGGACACTCAAAAATTTCAAAATGATAAAATGAAACTTCCTGCTAAGATTGCTCGACCACCAAAAGGATATCTCTGTATATTAACTTGGAAAAATATTAGAGGGGGGGGGGGTCTTGACTTTTTATTCACCCTGTATAGTGTATAGTCTGTCCCTTGCTACCTGTGTGGTCGGTCATTTTTGTTAGAACAGGCCTGTTTTTTTAAATGTTTCATTGTTTTATGTATTTATTCATGTCCGTACTGTGTTTATCTTCTGACGATGTTAACAACTGATCAACTCTACACTATGTACCTGAAGCTGACGATGGTGTTTTAACACCGAAACATGTCCTGAATAGACATATTTTATTGAGCTGTGACGGGAATTACGTAAGTAATTTAGTCTTACATTATGTCCAACAGCTCAGGGGCTACACACATGGATTTAAAATGTGTAAATACTTTAAATTTACGTATATTTACATAAATATTATATAAAAATACGTTTGAGTATAAAAAACACAGTAATTTTACTGTTAGTGATTTAATTTCGTAAAAATATGTCAAAAAACTAAAAACAAAGTAAAATTTTAATAAAGTAATGAAATAAATAGTGGTTTACTATGAAATATTTGTAATTTTAGTTATTCTTTTGAAAACCGTTGGAATTTCTTTGAATGACTAAAACAACATATCATACGAAAATATAAAACATTTACTTCATATAAGAATAAAGCTTTACTTATGCTGAAACACATCCGTTAAATTATTGATACTGTACTTGTTTCTTAACAATTCTTCTAGGCTCAAAAGCTGCTAAACTTGTACGGTCTATGCTTTCTTTGTTCTTTTGCTGTGAACCAGGCACTAAAACTACTGGTACAAACAGTGTTTTGGCCATATCGATCCCTTCCCCTTCTAATCCTTGTTTAGGGTAAAACCTTGGAACAGGCTTTGAAAACCCGTGAGCCATGAAGACCTTGCTGTAAGCCTTATCGGCTAAGCCGTTCAGTCGTCCTTCGTCAAAAGCAGGTACAAACAATGGTTTCTGAAGCTTTATTGGAGCTTCGTACATTATTTGAGGGGTTTCTACCTTCTCCACGTACGCTTTTTGAGGCACTGCTTTAGGGTAAAGTTTCTTGGGTAGGTAAGGGGCTTTAGGTTGAGTGAGGTACTGCTTGTACCTCATGTTTGGTCTAAGCCCAAGGTGCTGGAATTGTTTGACTGGAGAGTGTGAAACGTAAGCTGGATTGTTCACTCTATGCTCATCCTGAGGGTCCATGAAGTCGCCATAGCCCATAATACCCAGGTCGAAGTCTTCCAGCATAGCTTTCTGGGGCTGCGGAGGTTTCTTCGAGTAGGCCGCATGAACATTCTGAATCGCCCTGGAACTTTTCTCCATTTCTTCGTGTGTTGGGTGCTTCACGTGGAGTTGAATTTCCTCGTTGTCTGTGACCGGAATAACATCGTATTGAGGAAGGAATCGCCCCTCGGGCTCAGGAAGGAAATTGTTCAGGTCCAGGTCTCTGTCTATCGGGCTGAAGTCGATTGAGAAGTCTCTACCTTCTGGGTCATGCGCGATGTCGTAGGTGTACCTTCTCATGCCAGGTGTGGCTGTAACATAAATAAATAAATTTTATATCAAGAGTAGGCTATAATACACTCGTGTTTATAACAGGTTTCGGTTATAACACAATTGCATAGTAGTTTATGCAATCAGTAACACAGAACTTGTCATTGGTCTAAAATAATTGATGACAAATTTATCTACGAGAACTATGGATGTTCAGCAGTTGTTTACAAAATAAATGCTCTAGTCTATGGTTGTTTTAAACAACCAAACATAGTCTTTGTACAGAATATCTGTATGATATTCCATTTATCGGAGTCAAAATAAACCAAATAAAACTTTAAGTAAGATTCCAAAATGCTGATTTATGTTTACAGTATTGTGATATTATTAATGTACAAAATCAAAATATCACTACGAATGGCAACACATAAAGCACTTGTTCTTGTTGAACCACACTTACTCTTAGAGTAAAAGTTTTACTCACTGCAAACATCTAAAACCTAGAATCTATACAGCCACAGTATAAACTGAGCTATGTAACCAGTAATAGATAAATATTAACAAAAAGCAGAACGTGTTATGGTAATAGTTGCTATAATCTGGCCAGGAACAATCCCCGTCTAACCGTAGCTAGTGCGGCTCACTGTGGTTGCTTAACAATGGCAGCCGATTTGCCGGAGCCTGGCGTGTCGCTAACGTAGGATAAACTGCATAAATTACTTCACTGGCGAAATTGAGCCGAAAGATAATCGGAGGATAAGACATAACTCGCTAAAACTTCTACAGAAGAAAACAATAAAGTACGAAGAACGCCGTCAATTGGTTATCAGGTTCATATTTCAATATTTTTAAACTAAGGACGATTTGATGGACACACATGTACCAAAACGTTTTAAAGCAAAAATCTTACTATGGTTGAAGGATTAGGGGTCTAAGTGGGCGATTTGGTGATTAGTGCCAAAAACTTCCCCCCCCACAGGTTAAAATATAGTCAATCCCTAATGGCTACTACCTATGTGATCGTGAAACACCTAAGTGGTTCTAAACATATGAACCCAAAAAGGGGACATCATAAAAAAATCTCGTATTGTTCAGTCAGTTATTTTGCTAAGGCGAAATAAATATTTCTTTAGATTTAAGTTAGGTTAAATATTTGAACATAGAAAAATATAAGAGGAGTATTTGTGTTTATTTATTTTTTGTAATTTAACTGTATTTACATATAAATAATAAATATATTTACTTTTTACAGCTTGATAATAATCAATTACGATCAAACTGATGATTATTGCTCCTTGGTGTCTAGTTGAAAACAAAATTACTTCAAAAACCTTTGAGAGTTATCGGCTCAAAACCTATAGATCCAAGGACCCTTACCATATAACAAGGAACAGCTCCAACAACAAGAAATAGTTATTGAAGTTAACGGTGAAAACTTTGAAACCCTAACGACGATGTTTCAACACCGTTGTCTTAGTTTACTAATTGGATATTTTAATTTCCCAAAATATAAACCTTGATTATAATAACATAGTGCTCATAGTCATTTCACACCAAAACTCATAAACTACTTCCGATAACTAAAACACATTTGTATATTTAAAAAACTTATTTTATATATAAGAGATCCTACGGAAAAAATGATTTATAAGACTTAAATGAAATTCTACAGAGTAAAAAGGAGTTCTTTTAGTATCTGCTTAATGTTGGGCTAATTAGAACAAGATCCGTAAGAACTACGGCTAAAGCTTTTATTGTACTGTTCTTAATACCTGTAAAAGCTTTTTCATTTGACTTAATTCCTATCTTATTGTGCTAATGCTTGTCCAATTTGTATACATTTTAAGAGTTACTGAGTTAGATTTTAACAAAAGAAACAGCGTAACCAACTGCTAATTTAATGACATCTCTTATTTAACCTTTTTCGATTGGATATAGATCAATTAAAATCCCTATAATGTTTATAAATTATTATACCCACAATCTTGGTTATGTTACTTTTTATTTGTAGTTTAAATCAGCAATAGACCATGATATTTCTCCTGCATAAACAATTTTATTTCTTAATACCTCTATCCCGGTCCCATTAAGCAGTATTAAATGAAGTATTCTGTAACATTTTTATTACAGTACCAGCACGCACAGTTTTAATCGAGACGTTGCCTAGACTATGACCATACTAGAGATGTTACACCATCAAGGTCACAACACCGAAACTAAAGGAGACTGAGACAATTCCCAGTCATTGAGTCGTCTGTTTCGGTAGCACCCAACACCCAACCACAGTTGCCCAACAGACAGCCTCAATTAACCTGTTGCCTCACAGAGTTGCCCGAAACTGACAACTTTGCCTCACAGTCCTTCGAGTAACGCGTGACTCTAGAGTGTAAGGTTGTTGGTTCTATCACCGCCAAATCAATCAACTTCGGCTTCGGATGTGGTTTGCGTTGTCAAGCAGTGGTTTTGCGATGCGAAGCTAGATAATTGTGCTTTTAGCGTTGCAATATTATTCACACCGTCAAGTGTTTATTTATTAATCAAATACCAATATTCATGAAGTTTATCAAGATTATTTTATGAAATTTTTAAACCAATCATCGACAAATTGTTCGACAAAATGTTTCCTATGGATGTTGATTGTATGGATTTAATACAGTACAGTATACGGTTTAAGTCAGAGAAAAACTTTTGTTGATTAGTTATAATAAATAAAAGTATTTATGGATACACAAGATTTTCCCTTCACACACAGATAAACACAAAACGGTAAGCTGTGAAAGCCATTCTCTCATGTGTTAGTTAGAACAAATAATCCCCTAGAAAATCTTATTAGGACAGCATTTGTTGGATCTGCAGTGTTCTATGGTGTTTGACCTGGTGTGACTGTACCACACATATACAATACTGATCCGTCTGTATCCTTCAAAACTTATACTCATCAGTAGCACCAAGCTGAAAACGAGAAGCGAACTATTGCAATTTTATGGCTTGTTTATAGTGTTGTTTTTTGTCAAGGGTTTTTTTACGCTCAAGTGTTGTCGAAAGCCTCTTTTATACCAATGCAATACTTTCCGTTTGGGTAGTGTATAATTTCTCCTGAATATATAAGAAAATACAAAACACACATGTTAATTGCCTGACCAAAACACTTTGTTAAATAAATAGCGATTTTTCTTCTTTTATATTTTTGGCAATTTTCTATTGCTGGCAAATTCAAAAACACCTTTCGTCTTACAAATAGTATACTCATGATGTATATTTAGCGTACTTTTTGTTATTAAATGTACCGTGACAATTGTTGTAGATAACTTTACTATTCATTGGAGACTAAATGTAAAAAATATCTTTTAAAACCATTGATTATTGACTTCACTACCTCAACGACTGAATAGCTTAGAATGAACAGCATGTTAAGTAGCTTAGAGCTTAACGTAAAATTCAAGCCAATTCTAGTAAGAGACAAAAATGTACAACTTTTAACGAGTAAACGTACTTTGTGTTTTAACATAAAAATCCTTGCTTACATTAACTTGATAATGCACGACGACGAAAACTCTAAGGTAAACATTTAATGGCTTTTGTAGATGAGAAAAAGTGTTTTTAATTGTATTTTGATTAACCACTGTAACTTTTTTCCATTTCGTTATTTGCACCAAGAATTTATTTTGAGTTTATTATGATATCTACTATAAACCACCCGTTATTATAACGCTATTTTGAATAAATAGGCCTACGTTTTGTATAAAAGTATCAATCATTTTGCTTGTGATGATACTCACTTAACTAATTAAGATATGTTGGATGTTTAGTGAAATATTTAATACCAAGATATAATTCTATATTCAAAAGTTTTTTGTCATGATTACAACATAAGTAATATTACAAAAAAATACATATAATAAGATTTTACATAAATAATACTTTATTTTACTTTTCGTAAACTATCACATTTGATGATTAAATCCGTTTTATACACTTTTTACCTACAAAAGGCTATGTTTAGTGGTGTAATATAGTGATACTATTGTCCTACATCAAACGAACGTGTAGGGGAATTTCTCTTTTGAGTATATTACATTTACGAGAACCGAATATGAAATTAATCTCTCTGGCCCTATAACGCAATCACGTCAGCTATCAAAGGACGGATTAAAATCGGTTCAACGTTAGGCAGGCGCAAATTATTATATTTTATATTTATCCTAACATTTATTGGTACAAAATTAAAATGTGGATTCACATTTCTTTAATATTAAAATTGGATTATTTAATGGTACATGTTCACATTAGTTTTCACTAAAAAAGGAGTTAGTTTAGTTAAATAAATTGACTGTGAATGTGTTGTGTGTGAATTGACTGTGTGTTGATGTTTTTGTATATGGCAATTTATAAAAAAGCTCAATTTTGAACCAATCAAATCGGTTTAGCTTTAGGAAAATTAGTCAACTCCTCTCGCACCGATGTTAAAGACGCTAACGGCATTCCCCTTTTTATAATTCTTTTACGTTCTTCCTAAATAACGCCCATGTGTATAAATATTAACTTGTTCAAGAATGACTAGGAGAAAAGAGAATACAAACACAAGAAGGAAGACATAGTTTTCTATGCATGTCAGTGTTTACCTTTTGTGTTTATACACTGTTTTATGGTCAAGGTAAAATCCTTTTAAAGAGAAAATGTAAAGTTTTAAATGTTTCGGTGACTATTGGATACAGAAGAAGACATCCCATCTATATGTCGCCAATTTTTTACTAAAAACTAATTTAGTTGTGTGAGGCAGTCACAGATTGCTCTAGTGTCTAAAACTCTATTTTGTACCTTATTTGTTGTTACTGACATAGTTACTGGGTCATAACAGTTGCTATAGCTCATAATAAGTCATTCAATCAGTTTGACTTGGTAAAAACCATCGTGTAACTGGCAGAAGTCAGTAATCTGTATCAGTGCAATCTGTAGGTGGCTCACATCAACTACGACAATTTTGATAAAAAAGCTGGCTACAAATTTAACATGGGGATCGAACGTAACCTAGTTGATAACG